GCCAGGCTTGGTGTGGTCAGAACCACTCTGGAGTCCTACGTGGTGGGGACAGGATCTGGCAGGTCCATAGCGGCCTGTGCAGGGCTTTCCTCTTCCTGGCAATCTGGCTGTTCGCTGTTGTAGGATTGCTCACTGTGGCAGTGGCGGTGATGGTTCTGGGTCACACTCCCCTTCCTCAGTGGAGGATGATTCAGGCTCTTCAGGCAGCAGGCGGCAATGAAGCTGGTCAATGTCCCTGCGTAAAAGTTGGCCCCTGTCCACCGATACCTCATATGATAGGGGTCCAGTGACACAGGTAACCCTTGCCAGGAACCATGTGGGGCCACTGGAATAGTTCTGTGTAAAGACAGGGTCCCCTGGAGAGAACCCGCGGGGACCTCCTGGTTCACTGGAGTTTGGCACAATTCTGGGGCTCAGTCCGGGTGCAGACGGTCCAACCATGTTGTGATGTGGCAACCCATTAAGAGCTGGGTCTGCAGCTGGTAGATGCGCTTGGGGTCACCCGATGGCCGAACAAGAAGACAGCCAGCCAGCGCTTCCAGTCCCCATGGACAAGTTGCTTTAGTAATTCCTTGGTGGTCATCACCATTCCTTCGGCCTGTCCATTGGTAGCTGGGTGGAAGGGAGCAGATCACACATGCCTGATGAGGTTCTGGTCCACAAAATCCTGGAACTCTCCTGAGGTGAAGGCAGTGCCATTATCAGTCACTACCACATCTGGTAGGTCATGGGTGCTAAAAATCTGTCTCAGGGCCCAAATGGCTGCATGGGAGGAGGTAGAGGTGACTGGCACAACTTCTAGCCACTTGGTGTAGGAGTCAACCAGGAGAAAGAACAACTGTCCCTGAAACGGACTGGCAAAGTCCAAATGTACTCATGCTGATGGCTTGTGGGTCGACTACCACTGGTGAACAGGAGCCCTCGGAGGGTCAGGCCACATCTCCTGGAAGGCCTGGCAACTCTGTACCCAGGCCTCAATTTCGCTGCCCATTCCTGGCCCACACCCACGGGGCCTTCTTGTTGATTAGGCAGTGGAGCAGCTCAGTGATTGCGGCTTTATGGGGCAGAAAGGAGTGGTAAAAGTTCAGAAGCCCCAAGAAAGCCTGAAGCTCCTCCTTGGCAGGAGGCACCCCTTCTATGCTGAGAGCTTGTCTCTGCGGGATGCAAATGCTGTGAATTCCGAGCCCATAAGAACAGAGGGCCATCTCTCCCCACCCCGTCCAGAATGTGTGAGAGGATGCAGTTCCTGGTGGTATGGCGTGAAATGTCCGCGGTGTGTAGGGGGTGGTCCGGCACATCTTCTACCAGCAGGATCTGGTGTGTGTGGGGGGCAGGGGCAGGTCGACTGAGCTGAGCAGGAGGCAGCTAAGAGCATCAGTGTGCCCCATAGACTTCCCCGGCCTGTACTGCACGATGTATTGGTAACCCCCCAGAAAGATGGACCAGTGCAGGACCCTGGGTGACAGCATCTGTGGCTTCTGGCAATTGGAGGTGAGGAGACTGAGGAGGGGCTTGTGGTCAGTGGTGATGGTGAAGGGGCCAGGTAGCCGTAGAACTTCTTCACACCTGCCACAATTGGAAGGGCCTCTTTGTCAATCCAAGAGTAGTTCTGCTCAGCCAATGAAACGGTTCTCGAGTAGTACTTCACCGGCACTTCCCTCCTGTCTGGCAGTCGATGGTCCATAGGGAGAAGTGTTGCAAGCTAAGACAACTGGCAGTGTCTCATTGAAATAGGCAAGGACGTCGTTTGAGGTGAGCAGCTCCTTTACTGCCCAGAAAGCGGCAGTCTGCTGCCGGCCTTACACCCACGGGGCCTTCTTGTTGAGTAGGCAGTATCAGAAGCCCCAAGAAAGCCTGAAGCTCCTCCTTGGAGGTGGGTGCGGGTGCATGCATGATGGTGCAGATCTTGTTGGAGGCCAGATGGATGCCGGCAGTGTCCATGGAGAACTCCAGGAACTCTATGCGGGGGACCCCCAGGAGGCATTTCTCTCGCTTCACCTTCAGCCCAGCGGAGTCAAATCACTGCAACAGGGCGCGCAGGTGGTCAATGAAGTCCTCTTCTGTGGGGGTGGTGTTCAGTACATCATCGAAGAACAGTTGGACCCCAGGGATGCCTTTCAAAAGAGAGTCCATCATGTTCTGGAAAATCCCCGGGGCCACGCTCACCCCAAACTGCAGCTGCTTGACCTGGAATGTACCCCGGTGTGTGACAATGGTCTGTGCCTCGGTGGTCATCTCGTCCACCGGGAGCTGCTGATATTCTTTGGCCAAGTCCGATTTACTGAAGACTTTGGCCCCCACCAATGTTGCTAGGACATGGCTGACCACAAGCACTGGGTAAGCATGGTCCCTCAGCACCCTGTTGATTGTGCATTTGTAGTCCACACAGATGTGGACATCCCCATTTGGCTTGATTTGGGTTATGATGGAGGTCTCCCAGGTGGCATGGGCAACCGGCTCTAAAACTCCTTGCTCTACCAAATGGTCCAGCTTCACCTCAGTTTTGGGCTTGAGCATAAATGGAATCCTCCGGGCCTTTAGGTGGATGGGCCACACCTCGGGGTTGAGTTGTAGCAATACAGGGGGCCCTGTGTTTTGGCCGAGTGTCCCATTGAAAATAGCAGGGAACTCATCACACACCTTACTAAAGACCGAGGGCTGCATGCTATGCACCCCCATTACTCTGAACCCCAAGGGTGCAAACCAGGACAGTCCAAGCAAGCTAGTGAGCCGGCCCTCAACTACCAACAAGTCCAGCATTCCCTCAAACTGTTGGTATTTCATGTTGAATTTTCCCCACCCCTTAATGGCTACCTTATTCTTTTGAAAGTCCCGGAGCGTGAACCACGCGGGCCTAAGGCAGGGGCCCTCTTTAGGACAGAGCCTCTGGAGTCTCTTCCAAGATACTGGAGATGGAGGACCCTATGTCCAGTTCCATCCAGCAAGGTGCCCCCTCTATAAGCACAGCCACTTTAATCTTATCTGGGGTGTGGTGAATTCACTATCTGATGTTGGTGAACAGCGGTAGTGTGCAGATCTGCTGACTCCTGGTGCGTGGCTGTGTGTCTCTGGGCTCCCTTGGAGTGGCAGGCGTGGGTGATGGGGCCTGTCTTGCCACAGGCCCTGCAGGTAGTGTCCCAGAAATGGCAGGAGCGACACTCGTGGGCATCTCTGCAGCTGGTGCAAGGCATCAATGCGATGGTCTCTGCTGGATTAGCGGCAGAAGCTTGCGAGTCGAAGCAAGCTGGGTGGCGAATCTGATGGGTCTCTTCTACATCTGATGTCTCAGATGCTGAGGGGATGGAGGTCTGGTGTGCAGCGGAGGCCTCGCAGTTTTGCCATGATTTCTCAAAGGTGGTGGCTTCGCATAGACCCTTTACTAGTGTGAGGTCCTCATGGCCTATGAACTTTCAGTGTAGTTTCTCATCTCAGAGGCTCATCACAAACCGGTCAAGGAGAGCGTCGTCTAGGCTTGGGAACTCGCAAGTGAGCGCTAATCGGCAAAGATCCACCATGAAATCGGTGGCTGTCTCATTGGACTTTTGCTGGCGCACATAGAAGTCCATGCAGCGCACCATTTTCTTGGGCTGAGGCACGGAATGGTCGGTGAATGCCATGATGAGGGTGTCGTAAGTGGCTGCCTTGAGCATGGTGGGCGTGATGAGGCCCTGGACCAGCCTCAGGGTTGCGATTCCACAGGAACTGGAGAGCCTTCTTCTGCTCATTGCCCTTGATGCGCTGGAACAGTACAAAGTACTTGAGCCTTTCCACTCAAGTTTTCCAAAGCTTTGGGCAAGAGGGGTCATATTCTGGCAAATGTCCTGGAGCAGCAATCATGGTCCCGGTTGTGATGTGATGCGCGTGGTACTGGAGCTTGGTGCACAGTGCGGTGTAGATGGGCTCTGGGCTTGCTCAACAGGATTCCACCCTCGTCACCAGTGTTAAATACTGGGTTCAAGGTGCATTGCAGTGAACAGCTCTACTTTATTGAGTGATTTCAGGAACAAGACTGAAGACTCCAGGGCAAATGCCCTGTTTAAGTAGCATGCAAAAACCACACCCAAACACTCCCCACTCCCAATGATAGGCTATTTACATAACATTGTTTGCTCATTGATTACCTCTGTTTGCATAACATTGCCTTCTCATTGGTTACCTCTAGAATCCTGGTGGTCTATTGTTTCAGAGATCCAAGCTCAGTCCATCTCTTGGACAGACCTGGGAGATTCCAGCCCAATACATACATAACAATATGAACTGTCATGTTGGGGGTTCTCCACCTTATGGAGCTCTGTGGTAGCTTTCCTCCCCACCATGCTCCTTGTGGCCAGCTGTCCAAACTTTTGTACTGATGTCTTCGGTGATTCATGACTAGAATGTGTAGACCAGTGGGATGATTTTGGAGGCAAATGTTTTGTATGTGTGCTTCTTTTCTGGGGCTGAGGTAAACTTTGAAAAAAGGGCCCTGCTGGTACTTATTTGTGTGAAGTATTTATTGGGAGTATTTATTTGCTGCCTTTCTGCCAACCAAATCCTTACAAATGAGCTCACAAAATGAGAACATTGCATTGCAATAGCGAGAATAAATTTCAGAAATGATATTCCATGTTCTTGTAAATGAATATGTCATGTTCAACAACAATAAAAGGGAGGAGCAAGATTGTGGTTGATTTACTGGCTTACTTTACTTACTTATTTTATTTATACACCATCTTTGTCCCCAGTGGGGACCCAAAGCAGTTTATAACATTCTCCCCTCCTCCATTCTCTACACAACAACCTTATGAGGTAGGGTAGGCTGAGAGCATGTGACTGTCCCTTGTTTTGTACATGATTCTTATGCCGCCATTCAATGTAATTCCCATGCAACATTTAAATATGAAAAGAATTATCATAGCAGTACAAAGATATCCACACCGTAGGTGTGTGTTCTGCCACTGTGTGTCTTCACTTTCTCTGGTCTTTTAAAAGAGATGAGTACACCAGGATCTTCCACGTTCTCATTCTGTCTCTTTGATAGACACGGATGGCTCCCTCCTGGCTGAGAGACGACGGAGAAGGCTTTGATAGATTGCTGACCCAAGAAACCTGGGGTATGAGTCCCGTTCCATATGCAAGTAAACAATTCTCTGAGCTTCATCAAAGCAGGATGGAGTTGGCTTTTGAATATTCATAATAATAGCTTCTCTTGTTGGACTGTCAATATTAATCTGAAAATTAATATAATTTTCAACAGATTTAATATTTCTGCTTTTTCCTCCCAGAAAGAGTGATTATAAGGCAAGGGGTAGGATGGGGAGTCAAGTTCTGAAGAACACACAGTAAAAAGCCTCTGAAGGCTGGGACATGGAAACCGCAGCAACACCTTAAAGGTCTTTGTGTAGGCCACTGTGGATTTTATCAGAGAAATGGAGCAGATTAAAAAAAATTCCCATGTATTCCCATATGCATTGAGATCTGCATAGACTACCGCCTTCATAAGTTATATAAGTTGTTCGTGTTTTGAGATCTCCATCTATAAGAGAAGAGTTTGACTAAGAAATCATGTGAATGACATCACAGATTATGAATTTAGCATGGCGATTGACTGAATTAATATATCCTCTAATTATGCTGCAGAAGAGTCCTCTTTTCAACTCCACATTTCATAGTCAAAATCATTTTAGTGTTCTAACCAACAAGTACAAAGGCTGGCAGGAAATGTGAATTGTAGTTTCTTAAAATTATTTAATAAGATTGAAGCATCCAGTATGCCTTATATTTAAAGTTTTGCTGTTTTAAGATTTACTTATGATGGACCTCCTCCCTCTCCTGGAATATTAATGCCCTCCCCTAAATGCCCTTTACAGAACTGAGAAACTGCAGCCCTATATTTGGAAGTTACAAGGTTTTGCCAGGATGTGGGGGAAAGGAATCCAACTCATATAACATTATATAATAGCTGCTGGGGATACTTTACAGTGTGAAGATCCTACCCGGGAAAGCCCACATTTATTATGTTTAATACATCTGACAGCATTTGAAATTTACCAGTCTTATTAGTTGATGAGAACTCGGTATGCCTGGTCTTGTTTTGCCCAACTAGAAACCACCTTAGATCTTGAATGTCACCTCTGTTTGGACAAACCAATGACAGCTTTACTGAGACCTCATCAGTCAGGAAGACTGGCAAATGTCACGTAGTTCAAATGGTTATCATAAGGTAGTTTCAACATTGCTTTTATGATGCATCGCTATTGGTATGTTTACAGGGCAGAAGCGGCATGGCCTGTAACAAAAACTTTCTGGCAGAGTATAGTTTTTACAACACTTTCAGTAGAAAAGTTTTATTCGGCACTGTTGTTCAGTTACCGTCACCTATTTAATGTGAAATCCAAAAACAAAAGCTTATATTCCATTTTAGTTCCACAGAACTCTTCATCAGGTTGGATGTTCAAAACCAAAAAAGGTAGGGGAGGAATAAGGGGTTTTTTTTTTTAAGACCATGGCCTTAAAATCCCTTTGTTTGCATCTTTGATAGAGTGTTCAGCAGACTTCAGTGGATAGAGGGTCATCTGATGAAGAGAGCTGCCCTAAGCTGGCTTCAGCTGGAGGGCGGGGTAGAAATATGAGAAATAAATAAATAAAGAGATCTGGAGAACATGAAAATTTGCACACTGTTTAGTGTCACTGTGGAAGGTCAACAAATAGAACAGAGAGGCCAAGTCCTTTACCTGATGCTTCTTCTTACCACTGGTATTTACTGCCTCTGAATGTGGAAGTTCCCTTTACTCACTGTGGCTAGTTGCCTTTCATGGACCACATGAATCTGTATTCCTTTTAAAGCCATCTATACTTATGGCGATCACTATGTGCACTCACAGGGAATTCCACAATTTAATTACTCATGAGTGTGAAGAAAAGCATTTTTTTTTTCCCTTGGGAGATTTGAAACGAGCAAAACCTGAGTTTTAAAAGTCCCCCCCCCAAAGCAGGCTGGAAGGGGGGGGGGGAGTTCAGTTCAGTTGCTTTCCAGATATACCTAAGCCTGCCTTCATACAAATGCTAATAGATCAAGCAGGAGAGATAATGGGTGGGTCAAGCTCTCCCCCTTCTCCAAGCATGAAATATAAACTTGAGCAATCTACTACTTAAATTGGAATGTATACCTGCTCCCCTTTTCCCAGTTGTCCTGTATTTGATATTTAGGGAATGATCATACAAATGCTAATAGATCAAGCAGGAGAGATAATGGGTGGGTCAAGCTCTCCCCCTTCTCCAAGCATGAAATATAAACTTGAGCAATCTACTACTTAAATTGGAATGTATACCTGCTCCCCTTTTCCCAGTTGTCCTGTATTTGATATTTAGGGAATGAGAGTTTCATGAAAGTCTTAGGAAAAGAAGGAAACCCTTTTAGGAAAAAAATGAATTAGAAACTGTTTGGGAGGCTGGGGGAGGGAAAATGGTTTCTAAGATGTATAAAATTTTGCTGAAATGGTATACGGAGGATGAAACTGTAAAAGAGCAAATGTTAAAGTGGGCAATTAACATGAATAAGGAAGTGACAATTGATTCGTGGGAATATTTGTGGAAAAATTCTATTAAGATATCGACGTGTACCAATGTAAGAGAGAACTGTTATAAAATGATGTATAGATGGTACATGACACCAAAGAAAATAGCAAATATGAACCAGAATATGTCTAGTAAATGTTGGAAATGTAAGAAACATGAGGGCTCATTTTACCATATGTCCTTGCCAGAAGAGACTGGAATTAAATAGTCAAGGATTGTTGCCAAAAAATAACAACCCCCTTTCAAATTCCCCCTTCTAGGCCTTTATTGTTTATCAAATGTGATACGATGTTATCTTTTTTCCATATTTCACCTTCACCCTCCAGCAACAACCAATGATGTTCATCTGTTTCTTACATTTCCTTAACGACACAGGCAGAGGA